CCCCGCCGGTGAACGGGTACGAGAGGTTTCGGAGCGGGCCGCAGTCGAAGGTTCGGGAGCAGTTGGAGAGGTTTGTATTCGAGGGAAACGACGTCGTAACCTCGAAGGAGTAGAAGAAGAAGAGGAGGAGGAGGAGGAGGAAGAGTGGGTGCATTGGGGAAGGGGCGGGAAAACGATGGCGTTTGGGTGTGGGGTGGGCGAGGCGGGAAGTGGCTTAGAGAGTTGAGTGATGAAATGCAATGAGGTTTTGGTTTGATCACATGGCCGGCGTTAGTTGACTTGGACTGTTGTGGGTGGACAGTGCACACAGCTTTTGAATATTTTGGAGGCTGCTGACCAAATATGTTATCTTATTTACTTTAATAAGTTTTTTCTGTTCTATAATTTATGGGTATTTTCGTAATTCAAGGAATTAAAATGATTATTTATTAGATTTAGTAGACTACTCCTGGTCAACTTCAAAGGTAGAGTCAAACAGTGTGAACTCCAAACTTGCAATTTTTCAAAAGGGTAGTTGAGGAATTGGGGGAGGGCTTTGAATGTGAAAAGAAGAAAATCTCATACAATTTTTGGGCATGTTTTTCTTAGGCAGAAAACTTCTACTACACCCATACCTTTTTCCCGGGTAAATATACTTTTTCTCAGGTAAATATATCAAATTATCGACCACCTTTTTCTGAGACAGAAATTATTATATTTTACTTTTGTTTGAAGATTCTTTAATATTGTTTTTAAGACTTTTTTTATTCAGAGGGATGATAATATGCTAAAATCACACACACTGCTACAACTCCCAGAACATTTTTCGGATAGCAATTAAGTATTCATGATAGCATATGCAAGTGGAGTAAGACATTTTCAGTCCCTAAAATACTATATATTTAATAAAAAAAAGCACAACCACCGCGCACATGAAATGAAAGCTTTGTTTTATTGACGAACTGTAGCTATTATAAAGGTATATTATGAAAGAACAATCTTTATCAAGAATTTATTAAATGGACCTACTACCTTTTAATAGTTTAATGTATGAAACATGCATGCTTGTGTGATTTCAATCAACAAAAATCAAACACGGAAATTAATTTCTTTGACTTGTACCTAGGGAATTTTCTGTGCGTTGTGACTAGACCAAAAGCTAAACAAAATCATACAAGTTTCTAAATTCAGATAAGGTCATTATAGTAAATGTCATAGCAGCCTAGATAACTCAGAAGTCAGAACATATGAAGCATAACACGTGGTATGAATCATTCGGTTTTGTTTTGGCATGGAAATGGCCAGCCTAGCTAATTGGGGAGATGATATTAAAATACCAGAAGAACCCAACTTGAAGTTTCCAATGGAATGCCGCACGGGTTTTCCATGGCTATGTGAAAGGAGTAAGAAAATGTTTGGTATAGGTGAAAGTTCTAACTTCATCTTCTTCTGAGACCCAACTCAAAAACCCAATCTTTCTTTGGCCCCTCACTTGTTTCTAGACCAGACTATATACTAAAAGAAAATATAGAGGAATCAAGAAGTAGTTAGCCTAAACGCTAGATTTCTATACAACTCTCTAACCCGAGCCAAAGCCCTTTGGCATTGGTTGCTAAGTAGGAGAGTTTTCCATGGTGAAGGGATTGAAAGTAGCATAAAGATTCTAAACGACCCACATATGACATGTAGGTGTTTGATAAAAAGCCCCAAAGACAAGGAATTAAGACCAAAAAGATTACAAGCTCATGCATACCTGCACAGTTTGAGGGATTAGGTCCATCCTTGCAATAGCAGGTGAACTCAGTTGTAGATGTATTGTACCCGCACTGACCACCAGTTTCGTCACATTGCTTGCACAAGTTATTACTTGCATCCCATTTCAACCCAAACCCGGAATCAAGATTAGCAACTAGATTGTCCTTGGTTGAATTCATAGCCAAATTCACACTCGCTGATTGCGAAACGCGGGTAGTGATAGTCGTGTTGCACGTTCCAAAGGTACCACTAATATTCGTGAGCCTAGAATTCGTGAGGTTTTGTGTGACAAAGTAATTGATGTAATTGGCAGTGCTGTTTATGCTGCAGTTGAACTGACTTGTTAGCTGAACTGGAAGAGGAATACTGAGTGGGGGGCAGTCATAGAACAGCAGTAGTTCTTGAACATCTGAAGCATATTCTACATGGTTTACTTCTATTGTGGTGTTGCCTGGTGACACAGGACAAACGTTGTTCCAGTAGTCTGCCCTAGCGATTCTGAGACTACTTGCACTTTGGTTGATATCCAGGACTCGATAATCTTCGTCCTGGAATGAGATCACCGGGGCGTCCCCGGTGCAGTTCAACTTGAATTCCGGGTAGCCACAATAATCGGGCCGGCTTGATCCCCAAAAAGGGTAACCAATATTCGGAATATTTGCGCATTGAAACGAAGCGCTGCAGTTGAGGTATTGCTCATCATCCTTCTCACCCAAAGATCTTGGAATATACAATAGGCATATAGTACTTGTGATCACAAGGAGAAAAGAGATCTTTTGGAAGGGATAGAGATTCATTTTCAGAGAAAGAGAGAGAGAGAGAGAGAGAGAGAGAGAGAGAGAGAGAGAGAGA